CCAAAAGCGAAAACCCAAATGTTCACCAACTGATGAGTAAATCAATAAAATGTAGCATATACCTACAATCGAATGTTATTAAGCCACAGAACAGAATATGCACTTCCGGTACACGCCACAACATGGATAAACCTTGAAAAGATTTTGCTAAGGTAAACCAGACACAAAGTTTACATATTTTGATTCATTTATACGAAATATCCACAATAGGCAGATCCATAGAGACAGAAAATAGATCAGTGATTGGTTATCAGGATCCGGGCGGACAGGAAGGGAGAGAGTGGCTGCTAACAGGTATGGAGTTCATTTTGGTGATAATGAAAATCTTCTGGAATTAGATAGTAGTGGTGGATACACGATTCTGTATCTTCAGAGGCACAGAATTTGTTTACAGTTGACCCTTGAACAACACAGATTTGAACTGTATCAATCCATTTACATGTGTATTTTTTTTTAGATAAATACAGTACATTTTCTATTTAATTTTTTTTTAATGTTTGTTTATTTTTGAGAGAGACAGAGTGTGAGCAGGGGAGGGGCAGAGAGAAGGGGAGACAGAATCCGGAACAGGCTCCAGGCTCGGAGCTGTCAGCACAGAGCCGGATGCGGGGCTGGAACTCACGGATCATGAGACCATGACCTGAGCCGTAGTCGGACGCTTAACCGACTGAGCCACTCAGGCGCCCCACTACAGTACATTTTCTTTTTCTTTTCTTTTTTTTATTTAAAAAAAAATTTTTTAACGTTTATTTTTGAGACAGAGAGAGACAAAGTATGAACGGGGGAGGGTCAGAGAAAGGGAGACACAGAATCTGAAACAGGCTCCAGGCTCTGAGCTGTCAGCACAGAGCCCGACGCGGGGCTCGAACTCACGGACCGCGAGATCATGACCTGAGCCGAAATTGGCCGCCCACCGACTGAGCCACCCAGGCGCCCCTACAGTACATTTTCTAAATGTATTTTTTTCTTTAGGATTTTCCTAACATTTTCTCTAGCTTTATTATAAGAAGGTAGTAATTGGATAGAAAACATAACCTACAGAAGGTGTCAACTGTTATTATTAAGTCTTCTGGTCAGTAGTAGGCTATTTGTAGTTTGGATTTGGGGGAGTCAAAAGTTACATGAAGATTTTCAACTGTGCCGGAGGGTCAGTGCCCATAACCCCCATGTTGCTCAAGGATCAACTGTACTTTTAAAAGGTTGAATTTTATGATAGATGAGTTATATCTCGATAGAGCTGTTACTTAGCAAATGACTAATTTTCAAAGAAAATTTATTTTCTATATGCCATGAATGACAAATACAAAAATAGAATAAATGCATGATAAAGTTTAAGACAATTTTGAGAAAAGGGAAATTATTCTATAAAAAATAACACATATTGCAGCATTTAATTAGCAAAGAGTATGAGCTATCCCTGGGACAGACCAAAATTATTTTAAGTCTGGAAAGAGACCTGAATGCCTGTATTAGGAAAGCAATATATAGTAAAGATAATGCTTTTCCTCAGGAAAAACATAGATTATTTATGAAATGATGATGATCAACACCTAGGTTACTTTAACATTTGAGATTTGTGGTTGAAAATAGCAGAAAATGAGGGTTGCTAGTTGAGAATGGGTTAAATGGGTGAGGGGCATTAAGGAGGGCACTTTCCAGGATGAACACTGGGTGTCATATGTAAGAGATGAATCTCTGGATTCTACTCTTGAAGCCAAGACTACACTCTGTGTTATCTAACTTGAATTTAAATAAAAATAAAACAAAAAGCTGCACTCACAAACCCTCCCCCCCCCCCCCCCCCCAAAAAAAGAAAAGAAAATAGCAGAAAATAATCCTGGCAAGCTTATGCAGAGACAAACTTATAGGAAAGATATTTAGTACCTCAGAGACCATGGGAAACCAAGCCAAAGCTGGAAAGAGAGCCTCCCTTGTGCTACTGGACTAGGATGCCACTGTGTTGCTGTCCCAGGACTCTAGATCCCACCAGTGCTACCATGATTAAATTCTAGTATCCCCTGTGTATTTCGGTCACAGTCAAGACTCTGAGACCCAGGCATAGCCCAGGTCACAGGCCTGCATCTTGACTGCTGGGGATGGGGAAAAGGATATTTGCCCCCTGTCCATACTGGGATGGGAGGTAGGGCACTGTAGCATCCACCAGACAGGAAGGTGCCCAAGTGTTGGGATGCCAAAAATGACAGATTCCCACCAACATTTGGAGTAACTAAAATTAGAGCCATCCTTTATGTCCTAGACCAAAATAAATTCTGCATGAATTCAGGATGTAAATGTAAAACTTGAGACCACAAAATACTTGAAGAAAATGTATGTGAATATCTAATCTTGGTTTGGGAAAGTCGCTTAGCATGATATAAAAATCAGCCATTAAAAATGTCAAAGTATTAAACGTGACCCAGAAGGGGATCAGTCTGTTAAAATTAAATTAATTAATTAATTAATTAATAAGTGGTATATACCAGGTCATTAAGGTGGTTCTCTTTAGATGAACTGGAGATGACTTTTCCTTTTTCCCCTCTCTGAATTCAGGTTTCTTTTTTATCCAAAAGCTGTTAGTACTTTGGAAATTTTGGAAGTGAGGGAGTTGGTTGGTTGGCTTGTAAGAATGCAGAAGTATCTGGATCTTCATAAGTACATTTTATGCTAAATGCTAGAGAAAAACAACTCTACAAAAAGCAGGTGATGAGACAGTTGTATTTATAGACATCTCCATCTCTGGTAAAAATAGTGTTCGGATGTCTATTGGAATTTGTTCCATCTGGTGGTACTTGAAAAGGGAGACCTGAGTAATTACGGCTATAAGAATGCCCCCCAAGATCATGATGTTTCTCTTACCTCCTCAGTGGTTTTTGTTGGGGTTTGTTTTACTTCATTTTTAAGAGAACCCATCTGCTTGAGTGGGAATGTTACTAGTTTGCGCTCAGGGTGTGGTCATCTAAGGAGAAACTTCATAGATGCAAAGATTCTGGAGGTGGTTTTTTTACCGCAGCCTGTATTTCATGATTTTATAGTATTACCTCTGAATAAGGAATTACCTCACCACTTCCTGTTGAGGCAGCCCTTAGATCCTGGATACTTTGTTCTCTCTCTCTCTCTCTCTCTCTCTCTCTCTCTCTCTCTCTCTCTCT